AGGGAGGGAGGGAGGAAATCTAAGACTCTGCAGTAGGTTTAAAAAGACCTTTTTCAAGAAATAGAAGATGTATAGAGATAATGAGAATAATCAAATTGAGAAAGAAGCCTGTAACTAGAACACTGAAAGAAAGCAGGCCTTTTAATGTGCTGGCACAAAGTTTTAAGTCATTTGTATATATAAATCTGCATTCAGAGGAAAACGATCATTTTCAGTTTCACTAAATACTTTATGTTAATGGTTAACATAAACAATCAAATATTTCCTTTTTCAAGACCTCACATATACCACTTATTTCAAATTCTCAGAAATAAAAGCCCTAAGTATCTCAACAGCCAAATCTTCCTAGAGGAACAGAAGATAAAGTACTACATACCAGGGCAAGCAAAATGCACAGTCAATTACATGATAAAGAGATGTAGAGAAATGCGCATTTAATATCACCCTGGTTTTGAACCCTCTTTTCTGCATCTAGAAATACCACCTCTTTCAAAAGAAAGGAGAGATGCTTTCTGTGGGTCCTGACATGTTCCCACTGCACATGGTATTTTGATAGCTCTCCCTGCTGCTTTATTTGAGCTCTACATTGAAAGATAATAGAGGAACAAACAGAAAAGCACCTGTGCAGCTGGTGGTGCAGATTAGATGGCAATGCATCCAAAATTTCTGTTTGCCCAAGCAGAGAGGAGAAGAGAGAAAAAGATGCTGTTTACTGCCACCTCCAAATAGAGGTTTATAATGGAAGGCAAACATGCTCTATTTGCATTGGTGGATATCAAGAGTTTGGCAGAAGGCGAAAGGAATATGGTCAAGATCGAGATCTCTTCARCAATCCAAAATGTTTTCTATTATTCACATGGAAATTGTACAACACAGATATATAGACGGGAAAAAAAAAAAAAAAAAAAGGTCACGAATTGTGAAGAAAATGCACATACAACTTACAAAAGATGTCTCAAAACAGCAGACGCAATCAGTGCACTCATGCCCAGAACTGAATACAGACAATTTGGGGTATACTCACCGGGTTGGAATGGGCTGAAACTGTGCTAGCAGCAGATGGAGAGCGGGAAACTACAGGACTGATGAGCTGAGGKAAAGTGCCCCTGGCCACAACTAGCTGGACATTATCTTTTGCTTTCTGAAGGATGCTGATAGCCTGTTGATGTGTAATTGTTTGATCAAGGGCTTGTCCATTAATAGCCAGGATTTGATCTGCTTCCTTCAGCTTTCCATCTCTGTCACATATGCATAAAGAAGGGAGGAACAAAACAAACAAACAAAAAAAAAAAGAAAAAAAAAGTTCCACAAAAATCATAATATTTTGACAATTTTCCAGTTTTTCAATATCCGGCTCTCTATTTTCCCACCTTTTTAATCTCTCCCTGCAGTTTTGCTACAAGGAGCTGCAGTGGCACCCTGGTGATCGCCTCCTTTGAAGCTAATCCCACTGCCACTCTCCCCTGGCTGCTACCCCCTGGCCAGCTTTCTTCTCCTGGTACCCCCATCCGAGACTAAGCATATTAGATCTCCGTCACTCTCAACCATAGCCTGGGAACTTATGTTTATTCTTGACTTTGAGCCTCTTGCTTAGCAGACCAAGTGCTCTACTTTGTTCAGTGCCCCCATTCTGAAAATTCAGCAAACCGTRGAGTGGAACACACTTTCATCAAGATGTTAGGGAAACTAATTTTGTTTTGCACAAAATCAAAAAATCCTTTTTAAATTAAAAAAAAAAAAAAAGAGTTGAATAAATTATAAGACTATTCTTCACTTGCTGATAAAGGAAGCACTACTGTAAAATCACATACTAAGCCTTTCCCCAGACCTACTTCAAAGGAAGGATATGAACACACATGAGTTACGCTGCAACTCCTCCCCTGCTTATATTACTTCTACATGAAACAAGCCAAGACTCTGGAGGTTGTGTGTTCAGAATCATCAAACTGCAATGCTTGATGAGACAAAGGCCAGCAACAAAATCAAGTGGCTATTGTACTAGCCTTTATGTGCAGCTACAGTAAAGATGCCAAAATACTCCACAGTATTCAGGGAAAAATACTCCACAGTATTCAGGGAAAAAATGCTATCGAGCTGCAAGCTGCGGTATTTTGCTTGTGAATTTGAACCATTTTTCTGAATACTCTAGATTGATTCTTGCCCTAGATTTTCTTTATTGATGCAGCCTATAACATTTGTTGAAAAGGTCTATTCTCACAAGTGAATCAGGAGCTGATTTGGCTTAGATATGTCTCAAGGTGGATATAAATAGGTACCTACAGACATGTTCTCTGCAGAATAAGAGGAGTAAAAGCAAAGACCGTTTAAAGAGAGAATAAAAGTCTGAGAAATGAAGGGGTAGTTAAGCAAATTAGACCATATCATAACAACACACAGCAAGCTGCCTTTTTACCTGAGTTAACTCTGTAGGCCATGCTCTCCACTCTTAAAATCACAACATTCGTATTCAAGTCATCAGAAAGCTACTCCCTATCAAAGGGTGAGAAACAGCACAGAGATGATGCCTTGGCCCCAGGGCAACATGCTGATGAGCTCTAACGGCCAAAAGGAGCCTGACCAGCATGGTCACACTGGTCACGCACTACATGGCCATACATCAGTCTGCTATGGACTGGCTCTGCTGCCGCAGGCTGTTCTTACAGCAGAAATCTGCCCTCCCTGTCTTTGATTTTCCCACCAACAGGGTTTCTGGGATCAGGATTGATGTTTAAAAGCTACTTTCAGCAAGCCATTATTATTGTTGAGTTTTTGGTAACCTCATCTTTAAGAGTCCAAGGACTCCAGGTCAATTCAACATCTGCATTCCTGACATCTGCTCAGTGTCACCTTATCCCACAAACAATTTCACTAATTACACTCAGTTCTTTGGAGGAGGAACTAAACTATTTTTCCAGTGTAATTGATACTGTCAAAATCAATCTGCAACTGCTAACAACTCTCTATGATCTACTGCTCAGAACTGCAACTTCCCTGTTTCCTCAGCTGAAAGGGAGATACCATAAGCATACCAGAGAGGACTTACATCTAAGGAAAATTCAAGCATAGATCAGGCCTTCCCTGTTCAGATGTTATAAAAACTGCAGTAATGAGTAATTTTATATCCTCTAGAATGAATGGCTTTGACTAGCAGGTAAGRCACCCTTTGCCAGAAAAGCAGCAACAAAACTACAGTGTCATGTGTCACTTGGTATAGTGAACTACTTCATTAGTAATCTTACCTATGTGCCACGCTTCCCTCCTGGATTTCCTGAACAAATATTCCCAGTTCTCCTCTGTTTTCACTTTTCAAGCCCACAACACTGAAGCCGAGACCACCACTTAGAGGTTTAATAAGCTCAATGGTCTCAACAGGACGACCCTGTTCAGCATAAGAAAGAAAAGGGCACAATATTAAAAATCTTGAAAAGCAGTATGAGAGTGTAAATGGATTTTACTTTGACTGCTACAGCTGCACAAGMGTAAACAAGCTAGTAATTGAAATGTAGTTGTTCAGTTTTGCTTTCTTCATATGACAACAGAAGCTGAAAATACAGAAGATGTGAGAAATAAAAATTATTGCAACTCTGAGGAAGGGAAGATTAGGAAAAAGTAATTGCTACAATTATTAGCTATTGTATTTGCTTCATACAAAAGTTTTAGCTCAGAGGGGACAGGACTCATACATCTACTCACTTTTAGAGGGTATTGCATAGCTTTGAAGCTGAATTAGAAATCACAGGATAAATACAGAAAAATGGGAAAAACATGACTAGGTAGAAGTTTTTTGAGGAGAAAAGGCAGAAGACCTCCCACATCTTTTAAAAGTTAACTAGGAAAATGCTAGAATACATTCTGGGCCAAAACTGGTCTCAGAAATTACAAAATTGTAGTGTGTACACAATTTGTACACAATTTTGGCCCACCACAGAGAATACTTTAAAGATGAAAGAATAAAGTGCAAAAAGGCAAAAAAAAAAAAAAAGATAAAAAGTTTTCCATCTGATTGGAAATCAAATATCAAAATATGATTAATTTATTACACTATCAAAAATACATTATGACAAACAATCCCCTCATGCATGACAGTCCTATGCATAAACATAGAGGGAAACATACTGTACATGGTGGGCAGGCCTGACATTAATAAGGCCTGCTGTGTCAACATCAAGGCTATTTTTCCAAGAAAWTTTTCTCCTTTAATAACTGTTCCTCAAATTAAAACGCTGATTTTGCTTCATATAGCAAATATAGCATATAGAAGAGTTGAGGTATTCTTAACAACTCAATTCCCTTAAAATAACAGACATGTATTTTAACCTAYTGGATAAACAATGATTCACACCCATGGTTGCCAGAAGACAGTTACCTGGGACATATTCCTGATCAGCTGCTCAAAGTCATCGCTGGAGGATTTCCCATTAATCTGAGGAGTGGCGGATCTCACGGACGCCTCCAGCACGGCAGCTGTGCTGCCGTTCTGCTGAGCCAGGAGGTAGGACTCATTATGCAGTGAGGAACCCACACTCACACCGTGATGGAGGAGCTGCGGGAACTCGCCACTGGTATGGATGGAAGGTGTAGTATTTACCTGAAAAAAAAAAATTAGTAACAGTACAGATCCACAACCACACACAAACTAACCCTATCAACCAAATAGCACCACGGTTAGACAATTCTTTGTCAGAAACATTTATAAATACGATAAAATTAAAATAAAGTTTTGCACATTCATAATTGATGCAAATTTCCAAAGTATCAGTAAAATGTTGGAAATAAATTACTGGAAATAAAATTGTTTTCCTCACTCTGCCTAATATCCTCTTGCTCATATGAGCACATCCACCTAATGTGCTGTTCCAAATGAAGTCTGAACAAGCTTTTTCAACAGAACCCAGATTTTTAAGTAAAAATTTATCAATAATTTTACAATGAAGAGTAATTATTTGTATTCTAGAGGAACCCTGCCAATTTTGAAGAAAACGAAGGCCTCATTAAAGTTTCACTGATCAGAGTTTCTGCACCACTATATATGAAAGTTGCCACTATAAATCTCTGTAGAATTCTATAGTTAAATACAGAAGTACTATACGCAAGTCTAAAATCATTAGGATGATTTGAAAACCACAACCCCAACTCTACCTTTAGAGGAGGGTTCTGAGAGGACAGACTCCTCTAACAGCAGAAAATAACATAATTCTCCAACTGCCCCATTTCAAACCAGGACCCTGATGACCCATGCAAAGCAGTGTTTGGGAGTGGGAGAATGGAGATGATGCCTTATACAAATGAACAAACCTCWGGAGAAGTACAAGTCTCTATCTGTTGTCCCACAGCTTGTAGACTATCAATAGGAAATACTTTTTTCATACCAATCTGTCTCATATTTGACCAGTAAAATAACTTCAGTTTAAGACTTCAACAGTGTGGTACCAAATACTTTTAATAGTTCAGTTTTCCATTCTTCAGCACAGAAGACAGAAATTCTCTTTCTTCAAATCTTTAAGTTTCCAAAAAAATGGAATTCATAAGCAATTTTTAAATTATTTTTTTAAACTCAATTTATTCTAAATGACTAGTCCATCAATTTCAATTTTTAAGTATGTCACTTTTGTTAAACTAATTATATCTTTCTGCTAAAAATTTTCTCATGAAAAAGTCACTATTGTRTTCATATAATTCATTCTCAGTCCAGGTGCATTAAAAAAAACATAATAGAAACAAATGTCTTCCTTTTAATATCCTTACTTTTAAATCTTCTAACACGTCACTGTCATGTTTCTAACTAAAAACATTTTTGATGGATCAAATGGTTACTTACCATTTGATTTCACCACTATAATCAGCAGAATTCACAGTTTACTTTTGCTTAAAAATGCTTACACTTCAAGGCATGTTGATGTGCCCTCTAAGACTCAACCCCAAGCTGTTTTTACATGTTTTACATTGTCTACAACAACATTTACATTTATAACACATTGTTCTACATGTTGCCTTTGTTCAAAGGCGAGATGTTGCTTTTGCTTATGTATCTTATGTATCTGGTACTACAGATGTTAAAAAGTCAAGGAGAGAGAGAGAGATTCCTATTCTAAATCATTGTGCTCATTGCAGAAAACAGCATCAAGCCACTCTTGGCAAGGTTTTCATGCTAGTTGAAATATCGCTGAAAAGAAATGCAGCATATTTCACCTAAGAGGAAAAGSCATTCTTCAAACTACACCAGTTTAAGTAGACCTTTAAACACTTCATCTCAGAATTGCAATAACACTGGATACAGGATATCGAGAACGTAGTGAGATGTCACAGGTCTTCTGTACTAATAGTGGATTCAATCAGAGTACAGCTGATCTTAAGAAAGCAGTATTAAATGATCAGTGGAAGACAGGTTTAATTCCAAAATCATATCTGACATGAACTGGCTTCTGATTTGTTATCGAAACACTTGAGGAAAAAAAAAAAAAAAAAAAAAAGAAAGAAAGAAAGAAATTGTCAAGAGAATGAAGTATTTCTTATCTGTGGGTGCAAAAACATTTATCTCAGATTCATCTTCCCTTTCCTCCCCTCACCAGGAAACGCACTTTCAAAACACTCCTATTTCATAGTGAAATTTGTAATGAACCCAAGGTCAGGATTTTCAAATTCCCAGATAACTCAAAAAGGAAAGGTCATAAACTCTCTCTCCTTWCTATTCATCATCCCTCTCATTCCCAAAATCCTGATTCCTAGCAGGCAAAAGTGGAGAAGACCTGGCATGTACTAATCAGACTAGTATAGCTTATTCCTGMGAAAAAAATAAACCACAAGTGAAATCTTAGAAAGACAATGCTCTTGTGGCTGCAAAAAGAATTTTTCATAACATATAAATTGCACAACTTGGCAGTAATAAAATCACTACAATTCCATTGTGATAGTGCTTCATAGCACTGTGATTATATAAGCACTGCATGAAAGAATATTGCTTTGTTCTGTAATTTGGCTTATGCTAATTTGCCTTGATTGGCTTTCTCTTTGCTGTATGTAACATCTGCAATACTGGCATAATYTGGCATTAGGCAAAAAGAAGATTCACTGATACCACAGAGTATGATAAAACTTACGCTACAGACACACAGACGTTAAATGCAATCAAGTAGTGCTTACATGTAGTCCTTTAAGATGTTTTTAATAATAAAAAATAACCACTTCTGTGGCATGCCATCATTTAAAGGAGCAGAATCAACATTTTTAGGTCTCAGCATTCAAAAGAACAAATTCTTAGCGCTTCTTCATTTTAGGCTTTGAGTCGCTGCCTTACAAGATCACTTGCCACATGAAGCAACATCTYGCCTGCTATTCAGGTGAGACGAGCAACAAAAAGGTCAACACCAGCCAACAAAGAGCATTTGGTCCCCGTGAAAATCCTGCAGGGGGAGGTGGAGAGTGAGGAATTTCCCGGGAAGCCCCTTTGCAGGAGACTCCTGTCCCTCCCCCGAATTCCTCCTTTAAGCAGCAAAAGCAGCAACCAGCTTTTTAGACAAACTCCGCCCTGGTAACCTTCAAAGCAGCTCTGAGAAGGGCTACCAAGTACATCTCTTTTTTTTTTTTTCCTTTTTTTTTTTTTTTTTTTTTTTTAACTGAGCACACAATATACTTTGTTCCAAAAGACAGAAAAGTTACCGTTCTCACAGAAAGGCATTCAAAATAATAATAACCAAAGGCTCTCATTTACTTGTGCAAATCACAAGCTAGAGGGAAAGTTGCAAACAATACAAAAGATAACATTTCTCCATTTCACATCTTTCCTAGGTTTGCTTTGCAGCGCTGAGTTATCACCCAGCTATCACATGTGATCCAGTATGTGGCTGTGCTGCAGGGAGGGTGCTTTTCCATTCCTTCATTGTGTGGAAATAACCAGGGTCAAACTCGCAAGGAAAAAAAAAATCTGAGGAATGCAGCCTAGCAAAGGAAAGGGTTTTTTKTTTTAGAAGGGCCCTGTGCTGAGCGGAGAAGCTGGATAAGTGAGAGACAGAAAAGAAAGAAGAGACAGAGAAGKCTTGCTACTGCTGCCTGAATATCATTATTTTGTCTGAAAAAGAAAGCATTAATTAGACATTTGAAAAGCCCAAAACAACACTATTTCTATTTTTATTCTGCGTTGCTCCCTTATTGTCAAACACCGAGCTTGCTCTTCAGAATCAAAAAAAAMCAAATGCCTATTGAAAATTAAAGATATTAATAGGCAGAAAAGAGCATCTGGTTACTTTGTTGCTTCTCAGTTCAAGCAACTACTGAATCATGACAGCATTTCCCACCCTTGCTCCCCACTCAAAAACTCCCAATCAGTATGTTCATGTTCTAGAGCTTTTCTACCCAAGCTAGCTAACTTTGCAATGGTAGACTTGCAGTGTAAACAAACATTGTTTGCCTATTTAAGGAAAAGTCTTCAAAGCACATGTAAATAGCCATCACAGTATCCGATTAAAAGTCGGCAAGCCTCATCAACATTCAGATGAAGCACCATGCCAGTAAATCCATACCACTGCGCATAATACCAGAAACAAAAACTCAAGAGAGATTCTCGCACCAAAAACCAGCACCRAAAGGCATCAGTTTCCAATTAACATATAGAAGCTTTAGGGAAACCAGGTGGCATATGCCAAAACTTCACCACTAAAGGAGAAATACATGCTTCCTCAGGTCTTCATRTGTCACTCCTCAGGTCACTCACATGTCGGAAAGAAAAAACAGGTAGTCTAATATTTTAGACCCTAAAATAAGGTAGCAATTGTCAAAGGAATGCAAATGTTCATGCAAACAAAACTAGGTATTTACTTTTTTTCTTCTTTTTTTTGTCCAGGAAAACACAGCAGACAATTATTGGATCTCTCAACCTACTGTGCAGACTCTCTTCTCAGAGAAAAGCAATCATCTCATGGCAATGGACACAAGCTGAAACACAGGCAGTTCCACCTCCATGTGAGGAAGAACTTCTTCCCTGTGAGGGTGCCAGAGCCCTGGCACAGGCTGCCCAGGGAGGCTGTGGAGTCTCCTTCTCTGGAGATCTTCCCAACCCGCCTGGATGCCGCCCTGTGCCCTGTGCTCTGGGTGTCCCTGCTGGAGCAGGAGGTGGAGCGGGTTGGACTAGATGATCTCTAGAGGTCCCTGCCAACTCTAATGATTCTGTGATTCTGTGCTTGCTGTGTATGGCCACTCCACGTAGTATTATCCAGGATATAATACTCTCAAACTCACTTGATGAAGACACAACACATCCATAAGCAAGTCTAATTTTGTGACCTACTTCTATTTTGGTACCTGGAACAAACCAGCTGGATTCAGAAGCAAATTGCAGCTACTGCTCTTCTGCTTCCACCCTATCTTCTAGCCCAATCTCTCCTAAAAGCTGACCCTCTCCTGAGTTTGCAAGACTGCTCATTCAAATCTCACAAGCAATTAAAGCCTAATAAACAACTTATTAAACTGTCATGCTTAACTCTGAAAGAGACTCCACTACAACTTTAGGTCCAGGTCACTGTGAAATGCCAAAATATATTTAGCTACCTTGGTCTCTAACAATGGCAACATTATCCCATCACGCCGAGACATTGCACAGCTAACTCGGTACCATTTGAGATCATGCCCAACTCCAAATGCTTGGGAAACACCTTGCCTCTTTCCTCAGTCTGGCTGAGCTTGGCCAAAATACTGGATCATCCTTTATGATGATCCTATGGCAATAGGATCCTAATGTGTCCTAATGAAACCAATAATTTCAAAGTTTCAAAGCACAAACCCAACAAATAAACCAAAAATAGAAAAACAAAGAKAAAAAAAGAAACACAGTAACAGATGGAAGCCCAAACAGCGTTCCCATGTATATTTCTTGTCTGTGCATAACAGCATTAAGATGATTAACAAGAAAGAGCAGAGAGCCGGACTGCGTTTTCCTGCTGCAGTCCCCTCGGGAGTGCTAGGACTCTTCACCAGTGGTGAGTGCTGACAGGGACTGGTACGGGGGTACCACAGGCTGCCTCCTCCCGCCRGGGCTGTCTGCATAGTGGGCACCACACTACCCATCCTACAGCCGACCACAGCCACAACGACAGGCACAGTCGGGTGCGCRGCCCAGTCCTAACTCAGTGGCTGCACTACTTTCTAGTATTCAAGTTGCTGTTGTGATGAAAGGAAGCAAAGCGATAGCAATAACTGAATGGTTTAAAGGAAAATGTCCCTTTTCTTACCCTCGATGGGGATATGCAGAAAAGTACCACTTTATACCCCAAGCAAGGGTTGGAATATAGTGCTCCCAGTAGGAGCTCTTCGTTATCTTATTTCTAAAATAATAATAATAACAATAACAAAAATAACCACAATAATTAAGAGAATTAATCCTTAGTTCCTTACAGAATCCATATTTTTGGCACAATTTTCTTTGCATATGCTCACTTTTCTCAGGTTACGATGCACAAGCACAGTAAGTGGTCCCCAGGAGAAAAGTCTTCAAGACCACATCTGAAGTATGTCTTTTCCTTTCTTTTTGAAGAGCAGAGACAGCCCTATGTTAACCCTCCACCCAATACCGCCATTTCCACACCGCACACATCAGTAACAGGCATGCACACAAAAAACACATAAACACTGTGGGCTCCAGCACAGCCAGCAAAGTCAATGGGCATCTCTCCCGCGGCTCCCTGAAGCTCTGGCTCAGCCCTTCACTTAAGCTGCTTAACCGCACTAATCAACATGCACACAGGGAGGYGCATACGTTTGGCAGCTTCTTATCAGCTTCCCCCTACACCCACGGAGGGATTTTCCTACCTGCTCTCTGAGCTGCTGCACCGAGGTCTGCAGGTGGAGGATCTGGCTGAAGAGGGGACTCTGCAGCACCGACCTGAGCAGGCCCAGCTTCTCCTCGTGCGCCACGTCGCCGCGCTCGCGGAGCTTYGCCTGCAGGCGCTCCACGGCCTGCAGCGCCCGCTGCGGATCTGCGGAGACACCCGCGCCCCGTGAGCGACACGGCGCACACATCCACACGGCAGAGGACCTCCACACACCACCGGGGCTCCCCGCAGCTCGCGGCGAACTGCACAGCACCCGCGCGGCTCAAATCCCAGCCCAAATAATATGTCTCAGGTTTTCGGAAAGTCGTGGACGTGGCACAAAAGTCCRGACAATGGGAATTACATTCTTGTCCATTAGGAAATGGGCTACAAATGTCAAAGAAGCTTCATTAAAATTTTGTTGCAAGAACTGTGGCTGCACGACCCCAGATGACAGTACACCTTTGTATTTTTCAATACAAAATGCAAAAATWAGACATGTATTTCTAAGCACAGTAGCTATTTTTGAAAACACGTATTTCAGCTGTGTACAGCAATGTCCTAAATCTATCATGCACACTTAATTTGGTCACAAAAATAGACTTMTAAATATTAAAACAATATTACCAATTGTTTCCAACATGTTTTCTGCTTCTCAACTCCTCTTCCAAAAGGATAAAATGCAGTATTTCCCTGGAAAAACAACAGACAAAGAAAAAGGTCATATGCACAGAATCCTAAGTATTAAGCTTTGGAGCAGAAAAAAAAAAAAAAAAAAAAAAAAAAAAAAAAAAAAAAAAAAAAAAAAAAAAAAAAAAAGAAGAAAGAAAAGAACTCCATACAAGAGAAAAATAACAACCTATGCACAAAACCACAGCCTCCCTGGATAATTAAAATAACCTCAGAACTGACCCTATCTTTGAAGATTAAATCCTGCCTGCAAAATGTTTTAAGGAATGTATTTCGTAATATTATTTTTATTTCCATATCAAAGATGTTGTCTGTATAAAGTTGCGCAAACTGCCCTTCATTTCTTTCACGAGAAGCTATGAATCACAGCTGCCACTGATACTTTACACTGTTTCATTCCTTCACTTTTCAATGATTCATAACAACATTCCCTAAGGGAACCATTTTCAAGACCTATGTTGACAATTTCAAGTACATTTCCAAGTGCAAATATAAGCGCTTCAGAATGAGCCACAGAAAATATCTGAAGTCACCTTTTATGGGGAAGAGTCACTTAAGTCACGAAACCTTAATGCCACACAGGCTTGCAGGACACAGGCACCACAGTTTATTAAAGCACTAATTTTAAGAGTAGGCTCTCAAACACAGCTGATTTTTATGAACCAGTATGCAGTAAAGTGTAAAGTCCACACATGAAGGAAATAAGGAATCTGAATTTTGCTGTGTGGAGTTTTTTTTTATTTTTAGTGTCTCTGAAGCTGCTAAGTCTAGAGTGTTAAAACACATTTGATGCAGATTGATAACTGAGAGAAAAGAAAAGGAGACAGCGAGAAGACCAAAGACCATCACACGTTCATGATCTGAGCTGGGCATTTTATCTCTTTATCTTTCGCAATAGTACTTAAATGTACTCTTGATCATAGCAAGTAAGTTTAATATACCAACCCCAATATCTTGTGAGCTTATCACTGAACAAAGAGCTACGACCTCTTACTCAAGAAGAGTTAGCTTTTAGCGAAATTCAGGAGATAAACAGGTAAAAGATGGTGTTGACAGATAACTTCGTAAGGGAGATGAAAGGAGAACTCAAAACCATCATTACTCACACAATCTCAACACAACAAGCAAGATTCAATCCCCACAATAAATCTGAGGAAAAAAATGGCTGATAAAWCATTTACTTGGAAGATCATAAGCCAGACTGAATAATAATCTGTATTTTCTGTAGTGTGCCCCAAAAAAAACCCAAATTGAATGAATTTAAAATAGTTTTTAGTTTCATTGACAAAATGTCTACAGTTTTGACACACCTGAAGTTCCGTATCAGTTTATTTCTTTGCATCAATCATTCAGATACACGGACATTGTATCTATCTGCATTATGCAGATACACTGACACTGAGTCACTGAAGATCCTTTTATCACAATCTACTGCCCTGGGATAGGCCAGAAACTCAAACCCTTAGAGTAACCTTGTCAAAGTAACCTTATTCCATGATCTAAATTACACRGTACTACATGYCAGTAAAAAATAAATAAATAAATAAATCTAAATACAGTAGTAAATAAAACTTTCTTTTTATGAAATTGTTCCCTTATTKGGAAAAGTAAATGCCAGAATTTGATTACCAGATACAAAAATCAGGCCTAAGAAAACTATGGTTTTACTTTGCCGGCCTACAAAAACAAGACAAAAATATCTATTTCTTAAGAAAGGAGTTGGCTTGTTAAGATTACAAAGGAAGGTTATTCCTTATCAATAAACCACTATCACATCCTTTATTAAGGATCCTTATTTACGAACAGTGACATTTACATCATGGAGTGTGCTTTTCAGTGCAGTGCCAGCTAAAGATGTTCTTCCCTTGAGCTCCATCTCTGCTATGAGGCTGAGCGCCTCATGAAAAAAAAAAAAAAACCAAAAAAAAAAAGGATGGACTTTTAAGTCACTCAGAATCAGAGGTTGGAAGGGACCTCTAGAGATCAAGTTCCTTGAATCTCAGGATCCTGTTTATCATGTTCACACATACATAGCAGAGACATAAGGACAAGTAATTAAGAGAAATGACCGTAGAAATAGGGTATCAGATCTTCAGCTCTACCTTCCAAAGAACTGAGCAAGAAAAACAAAAATACTGGGCTATTACTGCGCTGCTTCAGCTCCCAACTGCTCCAGAAGGAGAAAAACTATAAGGACAATCCATATCTTTTTTGCACTATCTATATCTAGCTTTAAATTTTAGCTAGGCTTACCCGAAGTGTTACTCTTAATGTGCCATGAAAGCCAAGTCTTACACGTGAGAGAACACACTAGGTCAACACCATTCTCATGCAGGTCTAGAGGCAAGATCTCTCATGATTTATAATGCAAGTTTTCCCAAAACATACAGAGCTATTGTGTTATTAATATTACAACATATATTAATATAAACAGTATAATAGTATATATTAATATATACAGTATACTGAATATACTGAATAGATGAAGATGATTCTATCTAATTTGCAATGAAAACACGTGCATGGCTCTGAAAAGGTCCTTATGTTTTATTTCCTCTCTTGCCCTTGCTTTGCTTTGTGTTCACAACTACCTTAATGCCAGCAAATCAATTCCTATCCTTCAGTTTATTATAATTCTCTTTAAATCTCCTCATTTTGTGTTTGCACTAGCAGAGACTCCCTCACCAGCTGATCTGCTTAGTGCTTTTATTGTTTGTGGCAAAAAGCTGGATGCAACCTGGAATTGCCACCCGGATGTTTTCAGTCAAGGCACTTCCTCCGCAGCGGAATGAGGCCAAAGAGGCATTAACGGGGTATTCAGGCACAAAAGGTATCTCCATATGCYGCATCCCATGCTGACCCGTGCTCCCCCCGGCCTGCACGCTGCCGTGGGGAAGAGCCACGTGACGCTGCTCCTGCTGTGTCCCATCCATGCCAACAAGTGGGACCTGTCAGCACCAGCTTAACGTCACTTTAGCACAGCGAAAGCGGTGGAGAAGTGCCTGTCCAAAACACTCCACAGGCATTAATATAGGCACCATAGGCATTAATATAATCACCACCGCCCACTGCACATATGATTCCTGGCTTTTAGAAAGCTTTTTTTCCAGGTATTTTAATGATTATGCAGTGGAGCAAATCTTGCCTGGGGAGAAATATAGAGGCATACATGATTATTTGTTGAACAAAAAAAAAAAAAAAAAAAAAAAAGAGTGCATATTTTCATAATACCATCACATGCTTTTAGATGCACAAAAGATAAATTTATTTCTGGTTCTCTCATTTTATGTACTCTTGGCAAAGAGCAGGCTTATGCCAAAAACAGCTCTTCTATACATGATACAAATACAAGTTCATGCCTCAAAGAGCTTACAGCTTAGCTTAAAGTAGATTTAACTATTTTTGTGTTTCAGTACTAAAGTTCATTAATCTCTTCACAGTAATAAGAGCATGAACTACACCTTTTTTATTAGCAGCTTCATGAAATATTGTTAGAAGAATACAAAGTGAAATTCACCTTCACATTTTTAAATGTCACAGGTATCTGAAAGATGATGCACCGAAAATAAAATCRCACTTCTTTTCCTTCTTTCTGTTTCATAATAGAAAAGTGTAAAATATAGATAATGTTATCAAAGCTACATTAAAAAAAAAAATGTGGTCTCCTAAGGCACGCACAAAAATTGGACAACCAGATGGAAAGCATCTTGCACAGAAGGACCTGGAGGTCCTGGTGGACAACAAATTAACCATGAGCCAGCAACCAGCATATGCCTCATGAGATAAAAAAATACCCCCAGCTTCCTGGGCAGCACTGGGCAGTGCATTGACAGCAGGCCAGGAAGATGATCTCCACTCTGCCCTCACTGGGCTGCCTGAGGGGGTCCAGGACAAGGGGACACAAACTGAAAGGTGTCCAGCAAAGGGCCASTAAGATAAGGAAGGGGCTGAAGCATCTCTCCTATGAGGAGAAATTGACACAGTTGGGAAAGTTCTGCTTGGAGAAGAGAATACTGAAGGACAGATCCTACCAACTGCAACACTGTAAGTCTTCTCTCATTCTAAGGAAAAGCTTTCTTTACTGTAAGTTTGGCTGAGTACTGGCCCTGGATGCCCAGAGAGACCAGTGCAATCTCCATCCTTGGAAAGAGTCAAACGCTGCATGGATACATTCCTTGGAAACCTGCTCCTGGTGAGCCCATTTCTTGGGCCAGATGATCTCTACTCAGGAGCACAGAATGGTTGAGGACCTCTCCCTTCCAACCTCAACCATTCTGTGCTCCTGAGGACAGCTAAAGACACTCTCTTTTAAATAATCAGTAATGCACTTGCACTTCTGAAATTTGGCTCTTCCTGTGCTGACCTATGAAAATCTATTCTCACACTCATTTTTTTAAGATGCTCCTCTTCTGCAAAGCCAGCGGCCAGAAAACAGAAATCTGCATTTGTTGGTTTCTTAGCTTCTAGGTCAAAAACACTAAAATTAATGGGTATAAGAATTTACAAAATATTGCCAGGAAACTTACATTGACTTTCCTTCCCCTTTTTTCACTGCAACTATCCAAACCTTTTGGCTGAAGAGGTAGGTTCACAAAAAACTACTAATAACTCAAACCACCTCTAACAACTACTCTTCCATGCTTGATATATTCCATAAGGAGAAATATTCTGTTCCATTGACTGACACTCCATCTACTATTTCACAAACCCATTTCAGATAATACCTTGGAAATTAATGCTTGTAGCACTGGATTAGCACACACGCAATGGCAAAGATAGAAACTACAGTAACAGGCTTTGCCCTGAAGCTCTCACATTACTGTAAGTGTGCTCAAGACTCGACAGTAAGAGTGATATCTAGGCCTAAAGTTCGGCTAGGAGGTGTGGGAGATTAAAACCAAACCTGATTCAATTAAACAGCACAGTAATCACAGTGTATATCTTGTAAGCCATAAAATGAGTATTTAAAATGTTTAATCTACATCTCAACACCTGTGCCTG